TACTTCTCAGGTACTCCATTCCTCTCAACTCCCAAACAGTTCCATGGTGCGGTCCTATCGACAGAGTCGAAGGCCGCGCGAATGTCTAAGAATACAATGATCGTTGGTCTTTGGTAGGCATGACGGTGCTCTAGCAGCTGTCGGAGGGTGAAGATTTGATCAATGCATCCACGATCGGCGCGAAACCCAGCCTGCTCTTCGCGGGTCTGCTTCTCACGCGTAGTATACAATCGGGGGAGAATGACGGACACCAACAGCCTTGACGCTATCGGGATTAGGCTTACACCCTTATGATTGGCGCAGTCATTGCGCGGGCCCTTTTTGAAGATGGGGACAACAATCGATTCCCCCCACGAGGAGGGGACTTTCTCAGAGCTCCACACTTTAGAGAACGGAACTTTTAATTCTCTAACAAGCTTTATTCCACCACCTTTAAAAAGAGCAGGGGAAGGCCATCGGAGTCCGGCGCTTTGTGACGACCCAAGGCTTGCATCTCCTTGCGGATTTCAGTCTCAGAAGGTGGGTCTGTTGTGACAGACCATGGGACGTGTGCCGGAATAACTGTGTGAGGAGCTGACGCTGGTGGCCAGCTAAACTTTGCTTTGAAGTGCTTCGCCCAGCGTTCAAGAAGTCGTTGTTGATTGTGTATTGGCGAACCATCAGCTTCGCAGATTGTTTCAATCACACCTAAGGCCTTTCTACCGGTGGCCCGGATGAGATGAAATAGCTTACGGAAATTCCCCATGGCGGCAGCACGTTCCAGCTCTAACGCGCGTTGAGTCCACCAGATCTCGCGGTCTCTGCGTAGGTTTACGTTGAGGTTACGACTCGTTGCTCGTCGTATTTCATTATGCTCGCTACCGGTCGGGATTGATCGGCGTGCGTCGAGATTCCGCAGAAATCCAGGGCATCGCGGCTCGACATGTCAGACCACAACTAACTAAGCCAGCAGAATGCAGAGCATTCTTGATAAGCGACCAGTGCTGGTTAACGTCATCGATTGGGGTTGATTCTAGCTTTTCAGATAGCGTGTTCTGAAAGACAGTTAGGCGTGTTGGTTCATACAACTGGTCATAGTCTAACCGTCGATATGTCATACGTTTGGAAGCACATGGACGGCTTACTAACGCGTGTTCGGATTCGAGGGAGATGCTCGAGTACGATCGGCAGTCTTGTATACAACCCCGCGATTTGTAGCTTATAGCGATGTGGTCCATCTGCGTCCGTATCTGACTCGAGGAGGGCGGACGCCAAATGGCGTACCGGCAATTGGCACGTCTGAAGTTCGTACTGGAAGGGAAATTCATTGGTCAGAACAAAGACCCAACAGGCGATAACACTTAACATACAACGTAGATTCAAAATAGTACAATATCTTACAAGATTGTAGTTTGGAGCTCGCAATCACGGCATTGATACATACATCTCAATTAAGGATTCCTAGCTGTTATAGAAGGAATTCGTCGCGTATAGAGCAAACGAAGCGTCTTACTATGGATTTCAGTATCAAATGTAAATTTTGTTCAGTTTATGGAAAGCGACGAAGCAAATCTTGGAAGTTTATTGATATGTACGTTGAGTCGGGTGAGAGAAAATCTTGTTTACATCCAGAATAAATGGTGAGATTTGAACCTCGAAGCTTAATGATAACGCGAATCCCCTCCCCGAAATTTGTTGTGGAAAAAGCCTCACAGAAACGCTGTTCGGTTAAATCTTTCCGTGTGTTAATTGATCATTTGCAAAATGAAAGGGCACTTCTATGTAAGAGATTGAAAATAAGCACAGCACGATAACGTTTAGCAAAAATCCCCAATTTCTAGTTACCGCGATAGACTCTCCGGGTTCTGAATGACCACCGGGGGGAACCCATAAGCCCGGATAGGTGCGCATGTGCCATGGACGTTGAGTCAGAAGCAGGGCATCTTTACGAGGACTCTCGAGCAGGCAGGCACTAGCCACGGGGATGTGTACACGACCGGAAGGCAACTGGGCAGGCGGAATGTGTGAGCGCAATGTTTGGTTTCGGGCAGCGAATGGACAATAGGCTGGCCTCTGACAATAAAAACAGATGGAAAGTATGAAATGACCATAAACAGAATATCATTGGAACAATTGATCCCACAACAAATGAACACTGAAAGGATCATTTTACAAGACCAAAGGAACTAAAAGAATGGAATAAACAAGTTCATGGAGACTTTAGGTAGGTAGTTCCTCCACACACGGACTCAAGCTGACCTCTCGTGATCGAATAAGGGATGTCTGGGCCCCAATGAGATTATACTCGCTGGATTTTCTACCACAAAAGAACTGTGCACTTGACAACTAGGCTCATTCGAGACTTCAAAGTGGTTGTACGAGCCATAGTTTCACTTTTTGACCAATTGTCGAACAAAATCATTCTCATAGTGAACTCTCTATTTTTTGGTTTGCAAAAAGCATATAACTTAATCAACTGCATAGCGCACTGCGCAGAAGTTCATCTTTATCATATGTGTAGTGTACACAGGTTTGTAAAGCCAAACTGATACTCACTAAAGCGAAACAGCTATCCGCATCATGACGAGAGTGCATCTTGAAGTGGCATGATGGCTTGCTTGCCTATGCAATTACAAGAAAGGCGATAGGTTGTCTTGTGAAAACCACAGATAAATTAGATTACACAACATTATCTCTAAAACTCTCGGTGGTATTACATACACTCCGTTCATCGTCTGTTCGATGCGAGTGAATCAGGATGGTTTTCGAAATGATCTATATATAATACCAGCCATCTGCAATTTAGTGCCAACATATCTATGTTTTTTCCGTAATGAATCTGTCACCAAATGACCTTTGAGTTTCAGTTGCCCAGTTTATTCAATCATTAACCAGGGACTTTCGTGATGTTCTCTTCTGGCTATCATTTGGATGAAGTAGAGATCAAAACGCTGTAAATTCCAATATGAAAGCAGAGAACTTAGGCAGATTAAGGATGCAGAGAAATTTAGTAGATTCATGAACACCACTATTTGTGACACTCAGTCATATAACCCAGCGTCACCGAAAAGTCTGGCATCAGAAGTGTGTGCAATATAAATGGTAGACATCAAACACCAATTACACTTATCTTGAGGTCTCCAACCAAGCAGCCTAACGCGACCTGCATGACTGATTTCCCTGCTTAAGGTTTTTAAACTCTCGTGCCAGGTCTTGGTCTGACTACCTTTGATCTTCTTGTAACCGCTCTTTATCCAAGCAAATATTCCTCGCCGTGGAAGTTTATTTGGTGACATGCTCCAATTAAGGCCATCTATGGAGGTAGAATGCTTGCCTTAGTGAGCGTTACTCATGCTTTTCAAGAGTTGGCATTTAAGTGACTGGACCACTTGTCATACTCGGCATCTCGAAAAACGGTTCTCCGAGCGTCCGGTAGAACAACAGAGTTTACCGATATCCATCATTAGATCTTGTGCCAAAATCCATTGTTAACCTCAGAACCTCGCAATGGTACCCGTGCTGATTTATTTATGTGTGTGGTTGTTCCAGTCTATCAAATGCCTGAACAAAAAACTGGTGCGAGTGTAAGCAAACAGTTCGACGAATACATACGAACTAAATGCGTTTTAGCTAATTCTGAAATGATGTTAATTATTTCCACTTACCAAATTTACTCACCCTAAATGACTCAAAAACCAATTTCTTTCCGCTTGAACCCACGTAATTATGTAAACGTCCATATACGGTATTCTTATCACAGTCCAAACTATTTAATCTGCTCGAACAGCTGATTGAGAGCCCGCGAAATTGATGGCTAATATCAATTCAGCTCATATTGTGGTACCTGTTTTATTCAAAAAGATGGGAGTCGGAGAAAGATCACACAGGCCTGGAGTGAACGAATGACAATCTTGCTCACTGGATCCATTCCATTGGGTTACATTAGTCTTCCCAACTCAAGACCTTGAAATCAGCCTAACGAACGGTTACGGACAATGGGTACTATAGCCGAGATTCGTGAGCAGTGATGATTATGCGGATACTGCCTTATAGTAAGTCTTGGTCCCATCCTAACCTATAACCTATCCTGGTCTGCTCATATCATCAACGTTCAAAAACTGTCTTTCTATGTTTACACGCTCATAAAACTGGCCGTACCACACAACCTTTTTCGTAAATTTGTGATTGCACGCTGGCTATACTGCTCCCCGATTTTTATCCAAACTGAAAGAAAAAAACCACTTTATTTTCGAGATCCTTTAAACTGATGCCCCGCTACAGTAGAATTGATAGAGTTGTTTTAGTTGATTTATTTATTTCCAATCATCTTGACGCTTGTGATACATTCATTGACAGGATAACACGTAATTAAGGGTACTGTCTGCACCAAGATATCGCGAAAGCCCTGTGAAATCCCCGAACACGCTCCAAATATCAAATCCTTCCTGAACGGACTTCCACATATCGAAACAGTGTAAGTCCATATCTAGCTCGGTTACTAGTAAATCGTCAGAATATTCCCACCCACCTCAGGGAAAAACTCTTGCACTATTTTTTCTCCCATTTATTAAAGTGTAGAATTTCTTGTATTGTCTTTCTGTTTGCAATTGGTTTTATCTATCCACTATAAAAATCATAAACTGCTGAAAATTCACCCTTTGGGTGCAAAAAGCTTTTCTTGAATGGACTTGATAATTTGGTCTGGGTTTGAATTTTAATCTCGTTGTCGTCCTTGTTATCTGACTATGAGGGTAGACCAAAACCGAAAACAGCATGGAATTTCGGGGTTGATGGTTGTTCCAGTTGAAGCTCAAATAATACAAATGTGTTGATTATGGACTGTTTAGCCAGTAATATCGTTTCCACATGAGACAAGTCTTTCGAAATAAAAGGAACAAACGTCTCCACATGAAACAGCGAATGAGAAAGAAAGAACCTGTAGTCCAAATATCAGTTTCGAGTGACAGGGACCTGCCACGACTACAGCTTTTCTCAACTGGAAACACTTACCCGAATCGGGACCGGCAAAGCGTCCGTATCGCCTGAATCGACAGCAACACGATCTCCGGTTTGTTTAACTGATAACAACGCTTCGTCTGTCGTGGTCACAGTGTCAACGATAGACTGAGCATCGTTATTGGGTATATGTCACTTACTTCATTAAAACCTAATCGCCTGTTACGTCGAACACTGTAAACATATGCCATCGGGTCCGAATTCTTGTGATATCCGCTCGAAACGACCGATAGATACAATCGACTGGTCAAAGACCGGAGGAAACGGAAACGAATCATTTAACAACAGGCCCCATTGAAAGCCTGAAAAGAACAAAATCAGAGAACTCTTTTATGAAACAATCCCTAATTTATGAACTTAAAATGGCATACACAATACTATCTTATGATGGTCTGGGGCTTATATTGTTTCCGGAATGGCGTAATGCTCCTATACGACCAAGCGTCGCAAACAGCCCTTGTTAAGGAAGCTGTACCAATTTTCTGCACATGGAGGGGAATTTCCCCACCAATGTGGGAGAACAAAAAGTCAACATCTGGATTAGTGAAAAATCAGTTCAGTTTTGTACCGCGACGTGTTTTGTACATTGTCTGAACTCAGACATGTGTAAATATACATAAGCGAGTTAAAGCTAGTGCGTGAGATAAGCGCGCCTCAACGTGATGGTGTAGATGAGCAGTAGGATCAGATTAAGAGAGCAATGCATTCCGCAGCGAATGTTTCTTATGAGTCTGAGCCTCAAACCCAATCGGGGCATTGGGTATCTTATGAATTAGTAGCCCTCGTGGAGAAAAAACGACAAATCCCGGCACAGGATAAAAACAGGGTTGGGTGGCATCTGCAACCTAAAGAACAGTGTAAACTGGTGGTGGGCAATAGAAATGGAAGCAGAATCTGCTTCAAGAAATATTCAAAGACTGGTTCAACTGATACGCACCTTCAGCGAACAGTTCAGCCTGGCGCTAGCCACATTACTTCATATGAAATTGAATCGCCGTAGGCAGTGACGCGCGAACCTCCGGCAGAAGTAGAAGTACGTTCTTGCATTCAAGCTCGGAAACGTAGCGGGACGAGACGGGCTTTCTCTGACCCTTCAAGATCGGGTGAGGGATGATAACCCCGTAAGCTCTATTACTAATTCACTGCACAGCATGTGGTCGCAAAAGCGCATTCCTCCATATCGGGGCGAATCACTGATCCATTCTAAAGAGAGGATCTCGCAACGATTGAGCAAACCAAAGCGGGATAAGTTTGATCCCAATTGTTACCGAAGTGTTAGCCTCCATCATAATTATATATTTCACACACGTCTGAGGCCGGACTGTGTGCCAAACAAATCACAGTACAATTATCTTTATAAAAAAGAAAGAAATTCCACGATTTGCATCAGGGCCGAATACTGCCAGGTGTCGCAGGCCAAGGCAGGTGAATTGTCTTGAGGAATCCACAACTGGAGCCTTCGGTTAACCAAAGCCTGACCCGCAAGGCACCGGGGCGTCATACTTAGACGACTGACACCCTTGAGGGAGACCAACATCCATGATTGACTGTGACTTGCATAAGGGCTCGGTGTCTTCTAATACTATCTTTTCGGGTGATATATTTTTAGAGCCGTGCCTACGCGCTTACGCCCATGAGGTAATATACGAGTGCACTAAGTATTTTACAAAAATTTTCTGTTCATTTTGAAAGCAGCCTCTACAACGTTTAACAATGGATGATACCATTATGGCATACCTAATTTATTGGGAACAGAATGTACAACCGTATCTTGCTGCAAATCTGTATGCAGCACCATAATTGTTTTCAGAGAAGCGAGACATACGCACCTCCATGCATACATACACATACAGGCTAACATTAACAGTGGAGGTAGCATAGCCACATTAAACCAAGACAAAGCAACCACACTTTTAGCAACCTTTAAGAGTATATTCTGACAACCCGTGTAAAGGGATGCTGCGGATCCTACTGCACCACGTTTCGATATACCAACGATCACAAAAATATTAATCAACGAAAGTGATAACCAGAGAGCTTGCATCACTTAATCGATATAAAGCTGCAGGACCGGATGGATTACATCCTTCTATAGTTCGGCCACTAACAGGGGTTCTCATACATCCAATAACCCTCTAACTTGAGCAATCTTTAAGGACGAAAGTACTATCGGAGGACTGGCGAAGAGTAACCATAGTTGCTCTATACAAGTTAGGACCTAGGCATAAGGTAAGCAACTAACGACCGGTTAGTCTGACAACTGCTCTGTGTTAATGCTTAGAACGGATAATCAAGGACCAAGTATGTAATCACGTAACTACCCACAACTTGTTGGAACCAGTGCAGCATGGGTTTGCCGAGAAAAATCCATGGTTGGCTAATCTACTAACCTTGCACGTTCTGTGTGAAGATTTTCTGAGCGAACCTGAAAGAGTAACAAACGGGGTGCATCAAATATCAGTTCTAGGGCCACTACTATTTCTAATTTACATCAAAGAATTGACATGGGATCTCCAAAATCCCTGTTTCATGTTCGCGGATGACGTACACGTAGTCGGAGCGAACCTAGAGCGCGACGTAGAAGCGATTAGACAATGGCCTATAAAGGGGGACTTACCAATAAACCTCGGAGTGTCAAATTTTAACTGCAAGAGCTGATACCGCCAAGGATGGACAGCTGCCACTGCAGCACACAGAGGTGGCTAAGGACTTAGGAGTTATTCTCACCAAGAGCTTCAAGCTAGAAACACAATGCCTGAAGGCAGCTATTAAGGCCCGTGGTGAACTTTTCAGGTCGTGTGCTACCACTACCTGTAGAAATGCAGAGGTCTTTGTTTCTATTTATATGGCAATAGTTCGTCCGCACTAAGAATACTGTGTTCAGGCACGGGGCCCAGACTATGGGAAGGATACATGCCTGGAGGAGGTGCAATCATGGAAGGTTTTTCTTTTTATAAAGATTGCACCATGATTTGTTTGGCACACATTTGACCCTAGATGAGTGTGAAATACAATAATAATAATAATGAATTTGCAAAGGCTTGCTATCAGAATAGTAACTGGAAAAAAGGGAGAAAGCTATGAACAGCGATTGAGGGACCTTAATCTCTTCTCTCTGGAACGAAGACGAGTGAGAGAAGGCAAGATAGAAAATAGTCAGGGGGTTAGCAAGACTCCACGGCTTCTGGCGCTAAAACGCGAGGGGTTATAGCTTTAAGCTGCAACAGAACCACGGTAGGTTAGAGGTTGGGACCAACTTCTCACACAGGGTCATACGTATGTGGAACAGACTACCCGCAGGAGTGGTGGACTGTACCAATGTGCACAACTTCAGGGTGGCACTGGATGCGTATCGGCCGGAAACGTTTCCCGGGATTAGGTGGTAGTGTGGATCGTCACTGAGAGCCAGGTACACTGCAAGGCCAAACTACGGGAACGGTCCTTGCAAATGACGTCCACTAGGGATACTAAATGACCTGATATGTGCACGAAACCCGGACGCTTATGAAAATTAAGGTCTCTCACCGTTATGGTGAGGAGATACACTTTCTGTTTCCTCGTTTTCAGCCCGACTGAGAAAACCTGAAAAAAGAAACTCAGATTAACGCAGTGTTGGGAGCCAAGAACACCCGCCAACAACAATAACCTGGACGCTCGATTGGCAAGGGCCATTATTCGTCCTGTGAAGGCTGGACTGGACTAGATGTGGCCACGTTTGGTGAATTGATCACTTGTGCTCCGACATTTGCGGGATGATTAGCGTATCTGTACGCGGCGGAGCCACATTATTGAATAAGAGAGCATTTATCACAGATTACTTTTAGAACATCCGCTTTGCATGGGGTCGATGGATCATACAGTTTGGGGCTGGCCTGATCTAGGGTATCCGAAACAAAAAGCAATACTCATGTTGCTCGTCCCAGTCATCTCCACTTCTGCAAGGGAAGAGGAAGAAAAAATGTCTTCTCCCCTTTTCAGGCGAGAGACCTCACTTTTGGAAGCGTTCCCTTGTTAGAGGAGGTTAGTAAATGAAAGAACGGTTTCCAGCCAAAACCCAACACGTGAATTTCAGAGAATAAGACTAACAATCGTTTATCGAGCTCCTCCTTGAACGGGTGTACGGGTCAGGTTAGGTCCCAGGACTTTTGGATACAGCCAAATTGGGTCCAGTTTCTTGCACTGTGAGCCCAAGCGTCTGTCTTGAAGCGTAAGGGGGGAAGGGATGACAGCAGAGTAAACATGAATATTATAGATGGAACCAAGGGCGTCCCACAAGGGGATTTCGATTTGACACGTATGGCACAACTGCAAGATTCCGACTCCGACTTGCAAAACGCATTGAAGTCCTATTTAAATCTTCAGTGTTTGCCACTAACCACTTCCGAGGGCACGATCTAGTGTGACGTATCACGCACTCCACCTCGTCCTTGGGTATCCGTGCAGATGCGTAGAGTAGTTTTCGACACCCTGCATAACCTCTCTCATCCACGTATTCGAGCTAGTTTAGCATTAGTCAGACAATGTTTTCTATGGCAATCCATGCATAAAAATTGTGTGTAGCAGGGCATGTGGCGGTTCGGCTTGCCGGATATCTAAGAAAACCAGACACACTACTAGCCCTCTTGGGACTTTTGGCACTCTCGATGCCCGGTTCGGTAACGTACACTTAGATATTCAGTTTCACAACCATTAACCATGCACTTTCGTGCGCCGATTTCGGTTGCCCATTTGGATAAAAGAGAAAAATGAAAATTGGAATGTCGAAGCGAATCCAAGCGGAAGATGGGGAATTCATAGAGTGGTGTTAGGAGAATAACGAGTGGATGCATGAGCGCCACTGTTTGCGACACCCAGCCATATCACTCAGTGTAGCTAACCATCGGTGACCATTATCCCGAAGTCCCCAGCCAGGGAGCCTAACGGGGCCTAGTATCCTGGTTAGGGTTCTCATACCCTCATGACAGGGCTTAATTTGACCACCCTTTCTCTTTTTCCAATCGCTACCAGCCTTGGCAAACTATCTGGTGACATGCGGAACACATGCCCCAACCAGCGTAATCTATGCAGGTCAATCATTTGCTCTAGTAGACGACCGCGACTGCCTAAAACTCTACGCCTAACCTCAGCATTGCTAGTCCGGTTACTCCACCAGACACGTGCAATGCTACGTAGACATTGGTGTTCGAACACCGCCAATCTATTTTTATCCTGTGCCCTTAGTGGCCAAGTCTCTGTACCGTAGAGCAGGACTGGCCGAACTGCCGCGGCATACACTCGACCCTTCACAGACAGTCGGATGTCGCGACGGTGCCACAAATGTCTCAAGTTGGCAAATGCCAATCGAACCTTTTGTATGCGCGTCGACACTTAATCTGTGATGCGTCCGCCGGGTGAGATAAGCTACTCAGATAGCAAAATTTGTCTACTTCCTCCACTACTTCCCCAGTTAGGGTGAGACTGGGCTCTGAATCAACCCAATCTTGTAGTAGCATTTTACACTTTGAAGGTGCAAAACGCATACCGAACATGGCAACACTAGCACTCAAACTATCCAGAAAAGCTTGCAACTCACCTGGATCTTCACTTAGTAGCACAATGTCGTCTGCATACTCTAGATCAGACAGCCTGCCACCTGGGAGTAAATTGATGCCACTATCCTTGCACGAGGATAGGGCTGT